TGACTTGAGGCAAATTGAAGTCTCCCAGCGCAACTACCAAATCGGAGTTTCGACTGCTTGGCCACTTCACAAATGAGGGCGGTCTGTTTCTTATATCTATCAGAATTTGGGGGAATATAGGAACAGGTTTATTAGGCATTTTCACTCGAATGGCGATAAATTCAACGTCAGGAGTAGTAAGAGATTCAATTGATTTGGACGGAAATGACGAAGATATGGCAATTAATACACCACCACCAATCAATCATTTCTGAAAACTTGGAAAGAATTGTGGAAAAGTTCAGACGAATGAAGATCAGGTTTTAACCAAATTTCAGTGAAGGCCGTATGAAGATAAGAGTTGGTCCATTTCAATGAGTATAAAGGAGAGCCAGAGTCCGGGAGTTTGAAGAAGAATAATTTATGGCTAACTAAGCTAAACGCTCCTGAAAAATTGCTTGATAGAATTTGTATTGCAAACGTGACGTGACTTTAGCGGAAGAAACACTACAATTTTTCAGCTAACAGAAAAATGTGTTGTTCATACCGCGAAAATTTAAAGTAAAGAGAAAGACGAAAATTGTTTAACACTACAGTGTAAAGACTTGTACTTAGTTACGGACTTACGAGCATGGTGTAATGGTTCTTTCACAACTGTCTGAATAATTGTGTAAGTAATTTTTATGTTTTTTGCCTACTTGAGTTATCAGTCTGGCCAATTCGACCAACCCTCTCAAGCTTTATTGGTCAAACAAAACCAAGAACGGTTCGATTTTTAACATTCGTGTTCCCTGCTTTAAAAATGAAAACTATGTCCGGCCTTTGAACGTTATCGGAATAGGATACCAACATCATACTTTTTGTTATCTGGTATGGCTTTAGAAACCTTGCCTTCATATACCAGCAGTAGAAGACTGCGCATTTTTTAATGATTTCTTTTCGGTGAATTTGATAAAAAAAAATTGACATACGTAATGAAAAACAACACTAAGTAGAGTCGAAACAAAATCATACTTGCAACCAGCGTACAAGAACAGTATCCTATATTATTTATGATGTCGAGAAATATGTTTCACGGACCTACGCTTTGCCGATATCCTCAGCTAGTTGATTCATTCAGGTTTCGTCTCTCATAGTTGCACAATAGGGAAACGAAAATTTTATAGAATATGCACAGGCCCACGAGCTGATACTGAGCTGTAAACCTGGGCTTTACAGGTATTAATATATTACATTTTAATGAAGAAGCTTAAAAAAATTTGTCATTTCACGATTTTCAATCGAAAATAACAGCATTGTTTGCTGCTTTCTGTGGAAAAAATCACTACATTCTAAAAAATTTGCAAAAGCATATCGCATTTGTGGTCATTGGACTATTTCGTGATTCCTAATGAGTTGGGTTTACAAAGACTTCATTATTTTGCAGTATTTTCTTCCGAAAAGATTAGTAATTCTTTTTCTTAATAATAGTTGATGTAAAAGCTAACCACTTTCATTTTAAACTTAAATTTTAGAATATTGTGTAGTAGGATGTAGTAGAAAAAAGGCTATGGACGATAAATACTAAACTTGTTTTCAATTAAATGATTTTTAAAAGCTTGAATATTATAAATGTACTAAGCAAATATTAATTTCTCGTACAATTGTCCGAAAACATTTAAAGTCATAAAATTCAAATAGAGATTAAAAAGTGATAATAATAGATAGATATTAGAAATTTTAAAGTAAAGCAAAATGGATTTAAATCGTTAAAATTAAACTTATATTACCTGAAATGAAATAACTCAAGTATTAATTGTTATTAAACACTTGTGGGCATTGCAGAATTCTGAGTACTCTTCATGCCATACACATGAGAGTGTATGAAAACTTGGAACTTTTATTTTTTTTTTTGGTATTATTGCGTATTGGGCAAATTAAGTCTTCCAAGTTTCTTGAATGAAACGTACCCTTAAACATGACGATATCCAATCGACGCAGAAGGCAAGGAAAATCTAAAATGATTCATAAATCCATCCTTATTCGTTACAACGTGAATTATTAAAATGTTTCGTTTAAGTGATGTTTAGTAATTTCGTTTCAAAATGAATGACAAAATTTACATACTCTATTAAACGCAAAGGAACATAAAAATAAAGTTCAAAGTTCACTTTAAAGTAATGATAAGAAATTTTTTTATTAAATAAAGTGCTCCAGCTACTGAATTTCATTTGTCTCTGGCCTACGGTCGGACATATCAACTTTTTAATCCAGATCTTAGTGAGTTGTAGCGTAATGAGTTCCGTGAGAGCAGCCGTCAGTTATACGAGTTCCCGCATACAGGATGCTGTAAAGTTACGCCTTGATAAAGAAGATTTGACTTTGTACAAGATTCAAACTATACCAGAAGTTTTCGAACAAGCTTGCAAACTGCATGGAGGTATGCGCGCTTTGGCCTTCAAGAGTGTAGGAACATCTAACGACTGGCGTTATATGACTTATAAGGAATATAGTCTTCAGGTAGACAAGGCCGTCTTACTTCTTCTCCGTTCAGGTATAAGACCCCGAACAACTATAGCTATTTTAAGTAGTAATTGTTCTGAATGGCTTTACCTTGAAATGGCTGCCTTAAAAATCGGTGCTGTCGTGATGGGCATCTACCCTACTAGCTCTACAAAAGCTGTTCACTACAAGCTTAAGATCTCTGAAGCTTTCGTGTGCGCTGTGGACACTATTGATCAAATGGCAAAAGTTAATGAAGTTGCATTACATTTGCCTGATCTAAAAGCTGTTATCGTGTTGGGGGATGCTTTTGAATATACACCACATCAAAATTTAAGTTATTATCATTGGACGGATTTAATCGACACCCAATTTACGAAAGATTTGGAAGAGAAATTTTTGGAATACCGAAAGGCGGTATATGCTAATGAGTGCGCCATACTTGTCTTTACAGTAAGTTAATTAGTACTTCTCTGTTAAGCAGTCGAATCTAAATTTATTTGCAGTCCGGAACCACTGGTATGCCTAAGGGTGTTATGCTTTCCCATGATAATATTATAACCTCCGTTAAGAAAGTCTTAACCCTCGTCAAGCTCGATAGTAGTAATTTAGTATCATACTTGCCTTTGAATCACGTCGCGGCCCAAATGTTCGAAGTATTCTTTGGACTTATGACTGGATCTTGTCTGCATTTTTCTGATCGCGAAGCCATAAAGGGACGACTCGTTGATGCATTAATACATATTAAGCCCGCAATGATGTTTGGTGTACCGCGAATTTTTGAAAAAATACGAGATAAAATTCTATACGAAAAGTAAGTTTTGGGAAATGTTTTAATATGAAATTATTAAGAACAGTTTTCGGTTTTAGGAAAAAATCCAATCAAGATATGGATTCTATAAAAACCAATTTGGGGTTTGAAAATTTAAAAACGTTTATTGTTGGTGCAGCATCATCAGATCCAGAACTGAAACGTTTCTATTTAGATATAGAAATGCCTTTAATGGACGCTTTTGGTTTGTCTGAGACAAGCGGAGGTGTTACTTTAAACAAAGAGTTCAACAATTTCCAAACCGTAGGTAAACCAATATCAGGTTTAGAAATCAAAATTAACAAACCAGATAAACAGGATGAAGGAGAGGTATAAGATAAATATTTCTATCGCAAGGGAAGCTTTTCAATACAGTTTTAATAGATTTTCCTTCGAGGGCGGAATGTATTCATGGGTTATTTAAATAATGAAAATAAAACCCAAGAGACCATACAAGCAGATGGTTGGCTTCGTACGGGTGATTTAGGTTATTTAGATCCAAATGGCTGCTTATTTTTAAAAGGTCGCATTAAAGATATAATAGTAACTTCAGGGGGTGCAAATGTACCGCCGTTGCGTATCGAGCAAATAATTAAAAAAGAATTGCCTTGCGTTAGCAATGCTTTCGTTGTGGGTGACGGAAGGAAATACTTAACCGTTCTATTAACCTTTAAGGTGAGTTATAAAAATGGGGAAAATCAGGTTTATAATAATGATTTTATTAAATAGTTTGTCGCTATTTCTATAGACTTTTGTAGACGTCCACAGTGATATTCCTTTAGACGACTTAAGCCCAGAAACAGTAGATTGGTTTAAAAGCTTGGACTTTGATTTCAAATATCTGTCAGAAGTTTTAAACGCTGCTAAGTTACTTCAGCCGAGCATTTATGGGAAAATCATGCAAGCTTTAGAGAGCGGTCTTAAAAAAGCTAATGATCAGGCGTTATGTAATAGTCAAAAGGTGCAATATTTCACAGTATTACCTAATGATTTTTCTGTACCAACCGGCGAATTAGGTAAGTGCTAATAAGAGGCAGTGATGTTAATCAGTAAATAAAACATGTCTATATTTTCAGGACCAACTTTAAAAGTTAAACGTAACGTGGTCTTGGAAAAAAACAAAATTTTAATTGATACGATGTATTCCGAAAATGCTTCCAATAAATTTGCGGTCTAAGGCACTTTAAGGGTAATTTTAAATAGTAAACATGATAAAATAAAAGTAAAATAAGAGCATTTTATTTTTACTTCTACTTTTTTAAGTTCACAACCCCGACACCGATAATAATATACGCCTATTTTATTTTTATTTGTTTATTTATTTATTTATTTATTCTACTTATACAAGAAACTCAACTAAAACAAAATGGCAGTCGATTTCAATTGACTCTTAAGTAAATCTTAAAATTAATCAATAATAAAACTTACTATAAGTACAATAAAACAAATAAGGAGGAAAAAAAAAAATAGCATGTACACAACTAGCATAGAGCCACACCTACAACCGATACAGGACCAAATTGCAAGTGAACCCCTAAGCCATCGCAAACATGCATAAGCTTGGCAACCGATAATTGTTAACAACAAATTAATTTTCGACTCATAATGACATATTTAAGGTTAAGTCAGTTTACGTACGACATAGGTAAATCGCGCGTATTAAGCAATGTTGCTTTAATGGACCTTAAAGAGTCCGATAACGAGAATAAGTGGTAGACTTCATTTAGATTCTTGCAAACTACTCTGTGCGGATTGAGCAGCTCATAATTAAATTTACACTGACTAAGCTTAACCAAGATAAAGTGCCTAGAGAAGCGGTTAGGGACATTAAAGCTTATTTCACCAAGTAATAAAGGCGAGTATATAGCACCATTTATTAGTTTTATTATAAAGGAAACGCCAAGAACAAGCCTACGTTTCTCAAGAGACGGTAAGGACAGCAGAAGCAACCTATTTTCGTAGGGAGGAAGAGAGGCAAACGGATCGCAACCCAAATTTCTAAGGGCAAACGGCAAGAATTGCTTTTGAACAGATTCAATTGAATCTACGTAGCACCTATATGAAGGAGACCACACAACTGAGGCATACTCGAGTATGGGTCTAACCAAACACATCTAAAGCCTTTTCGTAATGTAGGGATCATCAAGCTCTTTGGACCACCTTTTCATAAAACCAAGCGCGGATCTAGCTTTGCTTATCGAGAGCTCAATATGCAAGTTGAAACGCAACCTATGGTCAAATAGAACGCCTAAATCTGTGATCGAATCGACGTCCTCCAACGTATGCGAATCTATGAAATACTGAGTAATGAACGACTTTCTTCTTGAGAAAGAAAGCTTCTTACATTTACTCAGATTTAGTTTCAGCAGATTCGAAAATCGCTATGCAACACAATTATCCAAGTCGCTTTGAAGCTGATGTAATTGGGATTCAACAGAGAAGGAAAAAAACAGTTTCACATCATCAGCATACATTAAGATCTGGCTGGAATTAACCACCGATGCGAGATCGTTAATGTATAAACTAAGTAAAATGGGACGTAAGTGACTTCCTTGAGGTACGCCAGAGGTAACGGGGAATTCATCTGAGGTGATGAAGTTAAACAAAACCCTGAAGGATCTATTGTGCAGATAAGAGCTTATCCATTTCACGAAATAGAAAGGGAGGCCAGAGGCTTGGAGTTTAAAGATAAGTAAGTTATGGTTAACCATATCAAACGCTTTGCTTAAATCAGTGTAAATAACA